TGCAAATCTCTTATACCGAAATCATAGTTTGCCGTCGTATATATACTACATCTACACTTTACGTATCTCCCCTCTCCGATGTTCACATTTGCATTTGTGCTTCTCTTTCTGGCCCGGCTTTAGAGGCTCTCCTGCAAGCTTCGCTGCTCATCCTTCTTCCTTTTCCCCGTTCCTTCTCTCTCCCAACCTCCCTTTCTTTCTCCCCATACACACACTCACACACATTCCGGTTTCATCTCGGGAATATAAAAAGGGCTGAGCACACGAGTGTTTAGTAACTTTGTCAGCGTTTTTAATCCCGTCTTTTATCCTACTTCTGCTTTCGCTTATCCTGTACGCGCCTCTCTTTACCTACCCCGTTTCTCTTCCACGTTGAATAAGCGTATGGGCGTACCTTTTCTCCTTCCTTTTTTTTTTCCCCCCTTTTTTTTGCAGTTTGTTTCCGGCTTCGACACAGCCGCGTGTCTCTCTATGTGCTTTGTAAAACGAGCCGTTGTACCAATTACAAGTACTCGCGTTCAACTCGCTCGGATTTAGTAGCTTCATCAATGAAATTGATTGGTTTGGTCCGTTCCCGGTGTCGACATACAAGCTACACGTAATGCTAGTAGCTCAAACGGTGGTTATTGAACATATGTTCAAACGATTTACACGTAACCCTGTTTCGTTCTTCCCTATTTCATCCAACGTCGAACAATATTTCGACCTCGATGGGAAATGCTCTAACGCGTTCCACCGGTGATTTCGATCTTGAAAAAGAGAGCTGACAACTGAACGTCCGACGAGTAGAATGCAGAAATGGAATAAGCTTCTCGAATTAAATTAAAAAAAAGAAAAAACTACTTGTGTTCGAAATTGAGGAAGAATTTAACGAAAGAAAGTACCTGGATTTCTCGAGGTAAATTAGGTCGTAATTTAACAGTAGAATGGCGTAACGATGTCGTAAATACGATGTATTTTACTAGTTACCGTGTAATTTCGTTGAACAATATTCGCTTTAATCAAACCTTACGAAATATCACTTTATTCCACGTAAATTATCGTTACCTTGTTTAGCATTATCAGTAAATCTCTCTCTCTCTAAATTTATCAAGGCAAGGTGAGTAAAACGGACCACAAGGTGACACAGGGCTGATATTAAATTCCACATGACCTATTCCATGTCGTGCCCTGTGACGCTTTTCCCACGATCGTTAGTATATTTTTTTCCATTTAGCTAGCGAGTCCATTAACAAAATAATAAGAACCCCACCCAGTGACACAGAAAACTCTGTAGGCCAACGTTCTGATGCATGATAGCAATTCCTTGCTGAACGTGTAAGTACAGACGTGCGTGCGAACGCTTATCGAAATGCTAGGATGTTTCTTTTACATCGTATTTATTGCTTGTATCGCGTTCTTATCGGCGTTCTTAGTTTTTTGTATTAGAGTAGAAAACTCTGTTTCTTCTTTTACAAGTAACACCGTGAACTAAACGTATCTAATCTGTGAAAGTATGCGAGTTGCAAAGGTGAGAAAGTTAAAGATGTTAAGTAATTTGTAACGATGTGAAATATTAATATGCAAGCAGGTCAAGAGATAGAATTTAGTAGCTCAGGCAAGAAATTAAAGAGCGTGTCTTTAGGAAGTGAAGTTATTTAGATCGAGTGTTATCAGATTTGTGTTAGGCTCGTGCGTATGAAACCTGGTATCCTTTTCGAAAAGTAATTACGTTTAACCGATCTGACACTACTATTTCTTCCCAAATGTGAGAAAAGACCTTGGAGGGTAGAAGTTTGGGGACGATGAAGTCGTCAAAGCGTCTCATTTCGAGGCGAAAGAGAAAATCTATTTTTACGAGGGTAGAAATAAACTAATCTGAGAAATGTATCGAGGTTAAGGGAGAGTACATCGAAAAACAGAAATAATACCATAGTTTTTTCTACCCTTCGTTTTTTGACCTTGCCATCGTAGATCTACCTATTTTCGCTCTAGATTCGCCAGAAGTAGTTTAATTAAAATCGAGAAGCCCACAGCTGTGACCTCTTACATTTGTCAAACTGTTCTACACACTGGAAAACAATAAATCTACTAAATTAACGAAAAATCGTAAAGAGCAAAATCTTGCTAAAAGTAATTAATTTATCCTCTTACCGCGAGGTAGGTACACTACTAACTTCTAGCCGAGACAAACAGCAGCTCTAATTCAATTTCCAAAATAGAAAAATCGCCAACAGTAAACTAGCTCTGTAATAAACTGCATATGTAAAATCCAGACCAAAGGTTATCTCAGATTCGAACCGTGATACCCGATTTCGCCTCGATTTTTCAAAACTGAGGACAGGTATCGGGGTAACGCTTGAATCAGAGCAATTAAGGATCGACGTTGCGTAGAAAGCAGACTTTGTTAAATCTAGCGGAACGTGGCATGCGAATGACAACACAGAGAGTGGGATAACACAGATTTAAGGGTTGGAGGAAGATGAACTTTGGGTTACGACTGTGTAGAAGAATTAAGAAGAGAATTGAAATGACGAAGAGTCCAGTGTGAATAACAGTAAAAGTTTGTGATAAAACTAAGGCTAAGACAACAGAACGATAACACGAACCTCTACGCGCGTTTTAATCAACGCGTTCCCTTATCGAGGACAAGAGACACCGGCGTTACCCTAACGCGATCAAATTATTCCGAACATGAGGTTGGAAAAAAAAGCTCGTTTCGCATTCCTCGTTGGAGAATTTCCAACGTATTGAAGAGCCTTACCACTCTCTCTCTCTCTCTCTCTCTCTGGTATATTCACGGAAATAGCGCGCGTTAGCGTTTCAACAGAAGGGATGAACTGGGAGGAGGGTGGCGGAGGAGGGCCGCAGAATAAACTTAGACATGTTTGCCGAGCAATCAAATATATGAGTGGAAAGTCTTGCAGGCGTTATCGATTGGTTCGAACCGGCTGTGGTGGTATACAAGCGAAGAGGAAAGATAGAACAGTGGATCGGTGGGGTTTGGAAGGGGTCGAGAAGGGGTCGACGCCGAGTTCGAGACGAAATGGGAACGGGGGAGATCCACGAAACTAGTCTACATCGTCGTCGGCGGAAGGCTGAGCGGTTTGTCCAGTGTTTGTTGTTCGCCGTTGTTCGAGGGGGCAAACATAGTTTTCGAGCTGGCGAGAAGGAGCCACTGCTACTACTACCGAATAGTCACACATACATGTGCACGTTATATACACACACGCGTGTGTCTGCGTGTGTAGAACGAAAGAGAGAAGGAACACGCGTGACGTGTGCGTGTATATATATATTGTATATATATACAGGTACGAGAACTTTCGAGAAATTCGGGTCTTTTATTTTCGCGCGACGACCCCCCTCTCGTTCTCGTCTGGTAGGAAGCAACGGAGAAAAATCTCAAGAGCGCATCATCTTCGAAAGCTTTGCCAGAGATTTCGCTTGCACAAGAAGGAACAGCGCGGGTTAAGCCAGAACAAGCTCAGAAGTTCGGACAAATTCTTGCGATGTCGGTAAACGGATAGGGGTTGAATCGCGAGAGAATCTTGTCCGCCTACTTACACTTTGGATCACTTTTATTTCTGATTTCGGACATTCTACTTGGTACTTGGAAATTCTTCGGTGAGATACGCCGGAGTTCTGTAGGAACGATTAAAACCGTGGAGGATTTTACATTCGATAATTCGAACGCGAGGATCGTTATATCGCCAGCCGTGCCTCACGATTTTATTAACGCGTGTCTACTGTAAAACTTTGTGCGACCCGGAATTCAGTCTCGTTCTTCGGTTTATCCAGTTCGTTAATGCTGTTCAGTCGAGTGATAATTAAGAAGAATGAAATCGTCTCGGCGTTCATTTTTCATTACGCTGTATCAGAGTTCATCATATCGCTGGATAAATTCTTCGGATGGTTTGATAAGAAGAAAACGGGGGTTGGGCCAAACTCTTTCGCGGTTCGTAATAGAAGATTAGCGAAATTTTTTTTATTAAGGACGAAGTGGAAATGTTATGTATTTTTGCAAATAAATGGGAGAATCGGAGTGAGTATTCTTTGTTCACCAAAATTCCTTTCCATTCTGCACCACTACTATCGTGCAAAAATCAAAGGTCGTTTGCATTTTTGAATCTACTCGTGCAAGGATATTTTTAAACCCCTTTACGCTTACAATAGATGAACATTAAGATTTTGCCTTATTTTCCTAATTTCCTCTTCCTTAATGATAAAATTACCAAATGTACGGTCACTTTTACCATTTATGAAGGAGCAAAGGAAAAGTAGTCGAAAGTAATCGTAATTGAAAAAGCAAAACGAGTAACAGAAAAATTGAAAATACAAGAAATGTATCGTGTAATTACGAGATAATGATTGTTAAATTGTACCCCATTTCTTGCGCGAAGTTCCATTTCACCTAAGACCGTGTTCGAGCGGTGTAACAGAGCTATCTGGATGATTTAGAACGGCCGCAGATAGGTGCAATTTTTCAGGATCATTTGCTCGCCGTAATACGCATCATTATTGCTCGAAACCAAGAATAGTGTCCCGGATTACGTAGCATTTCTCCGTTCGTGGTAAACATCTTTTATTAAGTGTACGTTACGCTCCGTTGGTGCGTCAATTTTTCAAAGCGCCCTCGGAGTTCTTTGTCTTCGTATCTCCATCTATATAACTATAACGATAAGCGCACATGGATGGTAGTAGGGGGGCGATTAATCGTTCCATCATCGTTGGGGATGGTCTCATCCCTGTGACAATGGATGAAACGGAACTCCTTCTACTTTTTCTCCGTGAATCCTTCTCGAAGATAAAACGGTCTTCGTTTCCTTTTTTTTTTTCCTCTCTTCTCGCGAGTATCTAAATTTTCTTCGTTAAAAGTGAAGAAAGAAAGAAAAAAGACAAGAAACACCGAAGATTCGTTTATTTGTCCGACCGATTGCGACTTTCGCCGCGAATGACGTTAAATCTAAGCTAATTTGAATATCGAAGACTAATGAAACTCTTCCTTTTTTTTATTTCAGGCTGTGCATTCGTGAAACTTTCATCGCATCAAGAAGCGCTAGCGGCGATCAATACCTTACACGGTAGCCAAACTATGCCGGTGAGTGGCATTTGCCTTTTACCTTAACTGTACTTCTCACAATCGAACTTTCTAACGTTTACATGAAACACTAGATACGTTTTGTATAAATATGTATAGAATACAGCAACATGAATACTTTAATTGATACAGAATTTCCGGAAATATTGCTGAAGAGAGATTCACTTAATCTGAAATTTTCAGATATTTCGTGACAAGATAATCGCACGATCTGAACATTTCAGATATTTCGCGATAAGGTAATCACAACTGTACGACACTACGATGTATCGAATATTCCTCAATGGAAGTTGTTGAAGTTAAGAGATGCGAAGAATAGAAATGAAGGAAATTAAGGCAGCAATCGAAGCTGAGACTGATACAAAGGATGAGAGTGTATGATAGATTCATACCTGGCGGTTCTATGGAGCAGGCAAAGCATATAGGATGGACAGCTGTAGTAATGACTGTCGTGGCAGCAAACACTCCGTGCCTGCAATCTAATGACTGGCCAAACAGAAATCTGCATAACACTTGGAGAAGTGTGGGTCGCCTCCTTCTCCATCGCTGAATCTCCCTTGGCCTCCGTCAAACCACCAAACTTTCTAAGCTTAGGGTCGGACCAGAAATTCCCAGCTGTAATTGAATTGTGAGTTTCATTCGGGATTCCACCTGCTGATTGACGAATGTTCGCAAAGCCGCTTCCCGAACTTGACCATACCAGCATTCATCTTCCTCTATTCGTCGTTGCTGCCCGTACTACAGTTTGTTCGGTGATGCTCATCGACATATTGAAGTTCCCCGGCCACTTGTTTATTAGTGTTACGCTTAATGGTACGGCATGACGGTTAACGATGCAACTTTAGGTTAATGGCTATCAGTGATCGATACCAAGAGTACAATGATAGATTGAGAACACGTAACGTGGCTGATGGTAAACTGTGCTGTGTGATATCGCTTCGCGAATGTGAAATTGTGGCTAAATATTCCGGTGGATAGAGCCTCGAGATCTATTATTTGCAATTTTTGAAGACATTAGGTGTATCTATGTTCTTCTGTGTCAAAAGTAGAACTGTGTAAAAAGTAAAATTACGCCTGGAGAAAGTATTGGTACATGTATATGAGCCATTTCACGTCAAATTGCACGAAACACTGTGGTCACAGCTTTGGAACTTTAGGTGGAGGCTAAAGTTTGGTTGGAAACTTGCATAGTGTAATTAACAATAGCGAAATATAATTAAAGGAAAGTGACCAGTTTCAAGGTCTCTATGCATCTTTGATGACTTCATAGTCACACTATTTAACGTGAGAATACGTGAAACTATACACACACTCGATACTTTTTTTTCACGTATCCGGAAATCGTTTCAGTGTCCATTGGGTACAGCGGGAAAAGCAGAAGAGACGTATTTTCCAGCAGCAACAAGAGATTCGCGTTTCGCGTCACGCGTGTATGAAATCATGGATTGCCTGAAGTTGAAGGGTGAAGGCGGGAGCAGATGCGAGGCTGTTACGTGAATATTATTCGTTACAACGCCATAATCTAATAACGAAGTCCAGGGAGAAATTGTGGGCACGGAAGGGGAACTTCAGGATCGTGCCAGGGACTATTTGCCTTTAAAAGAGAAACTGGCATAGCGCGGGACGTAATATGCAGATCACTTAATTATCACAGCAATTTATGCAAATCTTGACACCAACGTTACAAGACTTCATCGCATCCCATCGAGAGATTCGAATCAAGGATAGAATGAGTCATGCAGATGATAGGATGATTCTAGATTTATTGCTTTAACACAATAATGCACTGTTCGTAATGGACAAAGCGAGGTGCCTGTTAAATCAGCCGAATGAAAGTTGCGTTAAAATTTTACCGTTCATTTTTTCTGCTTGTGAATTTGGGTATTGTAAGACTTATGGTTGTATTTTAATAGCGAATATTTGTTAACAGAAACAGAATATGACAGACTGTAAGACTGCGCCTGGTATTATTATTAACTGTTCTATTGCAAGTTCTTCACTCTCGTTCCGCATCACACACTTTCTCGTCTCACATTTTTCTCACACTCTTCCAAAAAACTCTGTCTAAACACTACACATGCACGGTGTTTTCGGGTTTTTCCCATAATGGCCAACGATGGACCTCGCGAAAAGGGTTTATGTCTCTGTCGATCCTTGCTTCCTCTTTTATTACCCTCGTCGTACGTTTTTTAAAACTACGAAAGAGGGGACAACACTTGCAATCCTACAATATACCAGTGAAACATTAATTGTAATTTCTTCTTCATTTTCTTGTTACCCTTCAATTAGCATTTCGACTGCTCCCTGTAAGCTCAGGAGTTTACTTCCAACATCATTTCTCACTGAAACTAGAGGGAAGACGTTCAACTCTATACCGAGAGCGAATCAATTTCGAAATCCTAGGTATCGACTGATCTATCCTCAAACTAGCACAAAGTCATTATCGTAAAAATTCTTAGCCATGGTGCACAAATTTTCCAATGATTTTTCGCCTGAAAACTGATCAACCTGTACAGTGCAGCTTGGCATTGTGCATTTCACGCAATGGAGAAGACGTTCAGGTCAGTACTGAGAGCGGATCAATTTCAAAATCATAGGTATCGACTGCATAGCATAGAGTAATTATCGCAAAAAATTCTTAGCCATGGTGCACAAATTTTCCAATGATTTTTCGCCAAAAAAAACTGATCAAGCAGTACGGTGCAGCTAGCTTCACTTGAATCGACATTGTCCATGTCACGCAACGGGCAATATTTCTCCCGTGGCTCAATATTTCTGCGAGGTTCGCGGGTGCGTCTCCTGCGGTACGTGTCACCAGCGGAATGCGACCAAGCCGGCCTCGCGGGTAGTTATGCCTTCTGAAGCGTGTGACATTTCTTGTCACGCCTCACGACACGCTCGCGAACCACCCCTTCCTCCGCCACCTCCACCCCGAAGCGGCGTGCTCTTCGCTCACCCATGGCTTTGCAGACTCCTGAAATGTTTCGTAATAAAAGCAAACCTACGAGAGAAGTGTTTTGCTACGGTGCTGGCTAAAACGTGCTAGAACGTAACACAGTCGTTTCAGTGCAGGAATTTTACGTAACGTTGCTTCGTTTTTATTTTCCTCGCCGACCCTCGAGCGTGCTGGCACCGCTCGGAAATTAAGTGCTCGGAATAAAAAACACCCCCACTGGTCGCTAGTTCTCCATCCTGAAACGTACGTAGATTTAAGGAAAGGATTTAAGGAACACTCTCGCCTCTCCCGTATATTTCAATTACATATTTATCGACCTAAACGGTCGTTTTGTCGTAAAAACAAGCGATACTTGCACAACTGAATAGCAGCGAAATCGATCGTAATTGCTGTTATTTTTGTACAAACACGTCAAATTTCCAAGGAGTTACGGTTATCTCGGAACTTTCTGTTTATGATCGTATCGACGGTTGGTGATTAAAACCGAGCAATGTGGAGCAACCCCGGGCGTGAAAGATCGGCGCGTGAAAATGAAGGAAGTTTCGCTGTAGATTTGGACCGGCGCGCCGGTCGAAGATCTTGTTGAAGAGACGTTGACACGAAGGATTAGGTACACGGACTTGAAAAGTTCGTTAAATCGAGAAAGATAGAACCGTGTGTTGTAGGTTGGTGATGTGGCGCATCAATGGCAGGAGTGGCCCTCGAGTCTTAGCGAATGTTCCTCTCCCTCCCTTCGTTCGGAGACGAGCGAAAAGTGGATGGAAGGAAATTGTCTCTGCATTAACAGAGGCTCGGAAACTGCTTCCAACATTTAATTAAAGACATTCCCTGAGTAATTCCCTCGGCGGCCTCGTAATTGCATTGCTTTTATCTCCAATACAACTGTTACTTGTTTGGCGAGTCTTTTCTATCGAGAGTCAGAACGAGAGACGAAATCCCGTGGGTAAGAAGAAGTACGATCGGAGAAAAAGAAACGCGACCAAGCGTGAGACATGGAGACCTTCCCCCTTCTCGATACGATCCCGTTCTTCCTAGAGGATGATTGTTCTTTAAGGAACGGTTCTTAATATCACTATTACTGTGATTACTTTTAAATTGGAACAAATTAAGCCTCGGTGCCCCTAAGCTTCTGCTTAAAAATAGATAATCGATCCGATCGAGGCAACGTTGCATTGTACTTGCAGCGTCACGGAAAGTAAAATTATTACGGCGACGTTTAACGGAACTCTTCTTGAAGGGGTGAAACTTTTGGAATATTTCTCGTTTCTAAATTTTCCAACATTTTCATTTTTTCATAATTGGACAAAGAAGGTGAAAGTTACGTTTATATCCTCTGACACAAAATTGAAACTTTTTATTTAGTAATTACCTGTGAAAAAATTTCCCAAAGTTTATGTATTTTTGACACCTCAGAGTGGTTTCTTTCTTGACGAAATTTCCTTGCCGAGCTTTGAATAAAAACTAATGTTAGCGATCGAGTCGAAATCTCTAAATCGTCTTTTTTCTCGTATTTATTCGTATTAATTCGTGTCACAATTGCACGATATAAATGAATTCGGTATATTGGAAAATTTAACAAACGCGAAGCAAACGTTAGAATACGTGAACTATCGCGATATGAGGTGGAGAAAATGAAAAATCGGGCAGATTCTTCAATCGGTAGGCCGAAGGGTAGAGCTTGTAATTTCAAACACGCCGGAGAATTGGATGGTTTCAGTTCATTCCTTCATATCGGCTTCCGACAGAGAATCACGCGAACAAGAGGCAATCGACGTTCCGACCAGTCTTGCGGTTCCAGTTGTATCTATTGAAATTACCAGCTGGCGAATTGGCAAGTGTGATGGTGCGGTTAACAGGAAAACCTCCAATCAGTAGGTAATTGCTTCATTCCCTTACCAGGTCCACTGCAATATCACAGTTTTGTGAACCAGATTTTCACTTTCGAGTATTTTGCAGATCTCGAAGGATGAGGAATTTCTTAATTTTCATAAAATTTGTTAAACACGAAGATTTAACTTGTTAAAGATTAATAGGTTTGCAAGTG